TCCACCTTGCTGTGCCCTAAGGACAGTGACTTTCTACTCTGCCGCCTGCACCACCTCAGAGTTTTCCTCCAAGAAAGACCTAACTCAGGATTTCCAAGGAATTGAGATGAGATTGTCACAAAGGGCTGACCAGTCCTCCTGAGGGTTCCAGGGGAAGCCTGGCCATTATAACTGCCCTCTCCCCTTCCTATTACACACACGCGCACACACACACACACACGTACACACACACACACACACACACACACACACACACACCCCTCCAAGTCCCACCCACACACCAGCGTAGTCCCTGTCCTGTCCCCTCTCTCTTTCTCCCTTCTCCCCATATCCAGCCTTCTCATTCTGGAAATGTCATTTCGTCCCTGCGCTCACAGTGGGGATCTTTTTTTTCTTCGAGAGCCCCGCTGGAGCTTGTTCAAGTAAACAGAGGCTCCTTGCAGGGCCTGGGAGCAACCTACCAGCGCAGAGCTGTTGCTGGGCAACCAGCTGCTGCCTCCGACAGCCTGAGGCCTCCCTCTACTTCCCTTCTGGCAGAAAGAAAGCACCTGACAGAATGGGTGCAAGGGCCCCTAAGCTTGGGCCTTGGATGGCTCGGTGGCAGGGAGCAGGGCCACTGGCTCACAGACCTGTGCCACCTGCAGAGGTCACCAGGCCATGGCTTGACTCGAGAATGTCCCCTGCAGGTTCTTGTGTAGAAACTTGGTCCCAAGCTGGTGGAGACATTTTGAGAGTTTCCGGAAACTTGAGGAGGTAGGGCAAGGTTGGAGGAAGTAGATCCCCAGGCTCCTCCTCGCTCTCCGTTTCCTGGCTGCCATGAGACCAGCAGCCTCCTCCTCATGCTCCTGCCACTATCCCAAGCACGCGGGGACCAGTAACCAGGCACTGGACCCCGCGAAACGGTGACAAAATGAACCCTTCTTCCCTTGGGATGTGCCTCTTGGGTATTTGGTCACAATGGCAAAAAGTCTAACATACACCCATACCCACTTCTATATCCCATTGAAAGTGTCTGGAGCTGGGTGCTGGTGCTGGTGGCTCACACCAGTAATCCTGCCTACTCAGGAGACTGAGGTCTGAGGATCACAGCTCAAAAGCAGCCTGGGAAGAGAAATCCATGAGACGCTTACCTCCCATGAACCACCAGAAAACCAGAAGTGATGGTGTGGTTCCAAGTGGCAACCTTGAGCAGAAGAGCTCAGAGACAGAGCCCAAATCCTAAGTTCAAGCCCCACAGCTAACTAAAAAAACCCCAAAAGCTGAAAAGGCAACCGTGGCGGTGGCCGTCAGGAAAGCTGAAGCACCAGCAGCCCTGCCTGCCACTGAGCTGTATTCCAGCAGCCTTGTCAGACACAGAGCCAAAGGCTCTGCCTGCTACCGACAGCAGAAAAACGTTCTTACCACCTTCATCTCCATTATGTCCAGGTGACTTCAATGTCCCAGCCTTTGGACTCAAATGTTCCCTAATGATCAAGGTATGATGATTGGTACCCCAACTTCACTAATTCAGGAAGTCTGTTTGTCCACCCAGTTCTTCTCCCACCAAGTATTTCTAGAGTTCCCTGACCTAGGAGGCACAGGTACCAGGTACCTCTGGTGGGCATTTGTGCCACATTCCCTTACACTGTGCGTGCCTGCCTTCCTGAAATGCCAACTGAGGCCCAGCTGGACTCAAAGTCAGAAAGCTGAAGCAGAGCCAAGAGGCTCAGTTCTGCCATGGGAAATGGCCTTTCCTCAACCTCAGTTCAAAGCAACATTGAGCCCACCTTGGGGAAGGGGTGACCTCTCCTGGCCACCTCCACAGCATACTCTACCCCGAAGCCAGACCTCTGGAACCTTCCTTAACCAACCTAGGCCTCCTAGAGTTTTTCCACTTTTATTCTGGGCCTACATCCCAGTCACCAGGTCACTGGCATGGCGTGTCCCCTAAGCCAAGGTCACACTGGGAAATGCTTTGCCTGTGGGAATCAGCTACTCGGATCACCCCAAGATAGCCAGGATAGCTATTCCTGCGCATCTTCCTGAAATTCTATGTCACTTCCTCTCTCCCCGTCCCCCTCCCCCAATGCACAACTTGAACTAGAAACATGCATCGGCGTGTTTGAGCACCACCTGGCATGGATGTCCACTCCAAAGCAATTCTTAGAGGGGAGAAGCTTCTCAGATCTGCTTTGCAGATCACCCTAAATATCTTTGTGTATGTGACTGCGGCGCACCTGACAGAGACATGTGCTGGTTGGGCTTGATCCAGGGGCAGCCCCAGAACAGAGGTCTGGAGGATGAGCTTAGCCCCGCCCCCAGCGTCTCTCTGAAGCACAGCGCTTCTGATCCTGCCTCCTCCAGACTTCAAAGCACACAGGGCATCATGGCTGCTGTGTCTCTGGATCCCCACTCCCTCAGCACAGAGATCAAGCTCCCAGTCAGGCGGGGAGACAGCAGGCTGAACCGGGGAAGAAAGGATCATGTAAGACAAGGTCCTCATGCATTGTGTGAATCTATTTATTCATCAAAGCCAATGAATCAAATGGGTTTTTTTCCAATTAATCTTATGGAAGTGCACGCATGTCTATGTGTGTTCACACGGGGTCGCATGTGTGGCCACACAATAGCTTTGATTCTCACTGAATTGAATAGTGGAACTCAGCCTTTTCTTATCTTCTTCTTTTTCTTTTGTCGGTCATGGGGCTTGAACTCTGAGCCCTGGCGCTGTCCCTCAGCTCTTCAGCTCAAGGCTAGTGCTCTAGCACTTGAGCCACAACACCACTTTGGCTTTTTCTGCTTATGTGGTGCTGAGGAATCGAACCCAGGGCCTCATGCAGGCAAGGCAAGCGCTCTACCACTGAGCCACCTTCCCAGCCCAAATCCAGCCTTTTCTATACCTAAGTTCTGGCTCCTGCGACTCACTGGTGGCATCCGCTGCAGGGGTGGTCCCTCTGCCCATCCCAGCCCCACGCTCATGCTGGGATGATGGCCCACTATGGCCAGCATGGCCTCAAAACTGGATCCTCCTACAGAGCAGACCTCCCCCTTCCCCTCCCCCTCCCCCCTCCACTGCCACCACCACCCCCACTGCCGCCATAACCTGAGCCTATTTCCAGGGAGGCTTTCTCCCTTCTCCCCAAACAGCTCCACACAGACAAGGTTTTAGTTTAGATCATCTCTGGGAATGATGGGTGGCTGGAGTCCCCCGGAACCTTGGTCTTGGTGGCCCATTCAGCCCTAATGGCAGACATCCCTCACGTCTACTACATGGTCTCCTAGATCTGCTCCCCATACACACACACTTGGGGGCTACATGGCTCCAAACACCAACCCCAGATGCCCTGCCGAATGGGACGGTCTCCCTCTCCCACAGTCACAGGTGGCGTTTCTGTGCAGGACAGCCGGGGGACAGCACTGTTAGGCAGGGAGAGGAAGCGCCGAGCTGCAGCCCAGGCCGGCCAGCTCTGGTCCACAGGGTCCCGACTCTGCGCGTGCTGGCTCCTGGAGGCCCCGGCTGGCAGGGTGGGCGGTGGGGGAGGAGCCGCTGGCCTTGGTGCCCTCACTTCCTCGCCCATGGTCACCATTGCTGGACAGGTCCCTCCGCACTCACCCCGAAGAAGCTGCTACAGAATGGCACCTGAACCCTGCCACAGCTGCGGCCCAGGAGGCCCCTGCCCTTCCATGGTTCTGTCCAGTAGAGGGGAGGGATGCTCCCCCAGGAAGGGCTCTGCCTCCCTCACCCTTCCTGCCCTCTCCACCCCCACCCCCTACATGGCTCCTCTTCTTCCTCCTCCTCCTCTGCCTCCTCCTCTTCTCCTCTATTGGCAGGTCCCAGGTTTTATCTAAGGCTCCCTCTCCCCCCTCCTCCACGCAGCCACCCCTACCCCCTACCCCCAGGCCCTCACCCCCCCCCCCCCACTCAGCCAGAGCCTCGGCTGCTCGAGGCTCAGCCTCCCGCGCTGCTTCTCTTCCTATGCAGTCTCATCGGTTTCTTCTCGGCCCACTCCTTCCGCCTGGCAAAACCACCTCCCCATTTCTCCTTCCAGCCAGCTCGCTCCCGGGAACGGCTGAGTCATCGCAGGGCTCTGGGCTGCCGCCACCTGCTCCTTCCTTCTCCAGAGCCCCAGCCGCCCATACCTGCTCCTTCCTTCTCCAGAGCCCCAGACGCCCATCGATGCCTCGAGAGGCCGAGTGAGGCTTGTAGCAGGCTGAGCGCCCTCTGCTGCCTCATGGAGAGCCCCCCCCCCTTCCTGACTCATGCATTTCCTCGCCAGAGCTGGTCAGTCGGCTCTCTGGGAAGTGTCACCAGGGCTGGACACCTTCACTCTGCCACCTCAAAAATCAAACCAAGACTGACGATTTCTCACACCAAGACCGTCGACTTCTCTCTCGCATCTTCAAATTCAGCCCAAACGAATCACTTCCCAGGCAGCCCCAGATAGAAGGCTGGGTGTGGTCAGGCCTCCGTCCTCTCCTAGCCCAGGGCTGGACAGCGTGGGGTCAGCGTGTACTGGACAGCGTGGGGTCATGGGAGAGGGGCTGTCCACTTCCAACCCTTGGCCCGGCCTCTTCCTTCCCCAGATGTGTCCTGAGAGCTCACGCCTCTCTCGAGTGTCGTTACTGCTTTACCCATCTGTCCCCGGGCCTCCACGAAGGGTCTCCGCGGCCCGGGCTACCCAGCCACCTCACTCCTGCAGACTGCTTGACCGGGGGAGCGTTAGCTGGCCTCCTACACTCTCAACAGCCTAAAGGAAATGGGACTGTGCACCAAGGTCTTCTGAGCCCTAAACACTCCAGGTTCATCTCCAAGCCATCGTCACCAGCAGGGCAAAGGTGCATGTTCGGTCAATCCAAGCAAAGGCTTGCTGCTCCCCACCACCGCAGCTCTGCCCAGGACACCCACCGCAGCTGCCTCTATTGATTCCCTCCCCTACGTCCTCGCTTCCTTTCTAGAATCTTCTAGTGGAACAGATGGATGGGAAAGCTTGAGAAACAGCCCCCTTCCTTTTTTTGTTTTTCAGATGAATTTTGAATCTTCTGCCTCATACTTCTTTGGACTTAGAAATGAAGCCTTCACCTGGGACCTAGGTTCATCCCAAATCCCAGACCGGAGGTGATCTACATCAAGGTATCTGGAGGCTGTGGAAAGATGTTTAGGAGTACAAAGAGCTAAGACGGTGCTCATCATCAAAGAGAACTCATGCTAGTTGGAACAGGATGTCCCTAACGAGACTCTGGGACTAGGATTTCCTTCCTCTGGGCAAAGCCGCCGCCGTCCCTTAACCCCTGGTAGTCACAGTGTCCTGAAGGACCAGCCGGACCCTGGAAGGCCGGTGGGCCATGATGTCCGCGCGGAACTCTTTGATGACGAAGTAGTAGCAGAAAACGTCGAGGCAGCAGTTGATGTTGGAGAAGCACAGCGACAGCTGCAGGAACAAGCTAATGCTCCGCTTGGCTCCGCACTGGACGATGAAGCCATTCCTCACCAGGAACTGCAGGAAAAAGCCCAGGTGCACCGGGAGGAAGGAGACCACGAACACAGCCAGGCTGGCGCCGATGGTCCAGATGCAGGCTTTCTGCTGGACCCAGTCCTGAGTCCGGTCTCGACGGCTGAGTAGCGTGCAGATGTTTCTGTAGGAGCAGAAGCTCATGACGCCCATGGGAAGGAGGAAGCCGAACACCTCCAGGGGGAAGAAGACCTGGGCGCTCCACGTGCCGTCAGACATGTTGTGGAAGCACGTGTACGTCTCCACCTGCCCGTGAAAGCTGTAGATCGGGATGCTTCCCGTCCACACCAGGAGCCAGATGGCGAAGCAGATCCCCAAGGTCTTCCTGGGGGAGCGGAGGTGGCTGACCAGGAGCGGGTACTGAATGGCCAGGAACCTGTCCAGGCTGATGGAGGAGATGGTGAAGATGCTCCCGTACATGCTGATGAAGTAGAGGCACTCCACTAGCGTGCAGAAGGCCGGGGAGGGAGGCTGCACCCGCGACAGCGCCATCTTGAACGGGAGCGAGAGGACCAGCAGGAGGTCGAAGACGGCCAGGTTGATCATGTAGATGGAGGTGGCTGCGTAGTCCCGGCGCCTCTTCAGGAAGGAGCCGAAGCCGCGGATGGCCAGCAGGTTGAGGAGCAGGCCCACGAGGAAGGTGGGGAGGTGCACGGCCAGCTGGAGGGTCTTGGTGAGCTCGTCCACGTCACTGAACGAGCAGTTGGTGCTTTCGGGAGCCTGGCTCATGTTCTGGCCTGCAACACGAGCCACACGTTAGAGTGTCTCCTCTCTCCGTCTGTCCGTCTCCCCTCTCTCTCTCTCTTTCCTTTGAAGTGATAGGTTCAAATGTTGTCATAAAGAATAACAAATACCCCTCTCTCCCCCCAGTGAGTCCTGCTTATCTGATCACAATGACCAAACAGAACCCAAACATTCCTTTGAACCCCAATACCCCGTGGAGGCATCACCACCGTCTCATAGAGACGCTCCTCGCGTGGCTGTGCGATCACACCCCGTCCAGCCCACTGTGCGTTGAAAAGTATGCTAATTCACCAGTACCCTCCATGCCCTCTAGCTAGCGAACGGCAGAGAGCAGCCTCGCTTGTCACAAACGTGGCTCGGAACCTACATTAGCCTGCGCTTGGGTGAAATCATCTAACAATAAAGTGTTGAATATTTCATGCAACTTATTGACCCACTGGGCTTGAAGTGGAAAATAGAACGTTGTAAGGGTATGCTCTGTACCGTCATAAAGTTAAAATATCCAAGGTCGAACCATGGTAAATTGGAGATCATATGTATAGCAATCCAAATTCTCCCTCGCTTCTCTCACTCTCCCCCCATCCAAATATCTTTCTCTTTTTTTCACTCAGAACTCCAGTTGAGGGGGCTGGGAAGGTGGCTCAGTGGTAGAGCGCTTGCCTTGCATGCCTGAGGCCCTGGGTTCGATTCCTCAGCACCACATAAGAAAAAAGAAAAAAGCCGGAAGTGGTGCTGTGGCTCCAGTGGTAGAGCGCTAGCCTTGAGCTGAAGAGCTGAGGGACCGCGCCCAGGCCCAGAGTTCAGGCCCCATGACCAGACCAAAAAAAAAAAAAGAACTCCAGTTGAAAGGAGTATCAGCACAAACCCTGCCCCAAACTGCTTTAAGCCGAGAGAGTATTTCAAAATGGCAAACGAGGGTAGAGTGGTATTCAGGTCCAACTTGATCAGGGATTCAAACGCTGATTCAGGGTGCGAGTCCTCTTTACACATTGTCCCCTCTGCTCACCCTCACTTTGCCATGGGTGACCGGCGCTCACTCCAGCCCTGACTGTAAGGGTAGTAACAGCCTGTGAACCACACTGCCCTGGACGCACGACTTGCTCTGATCTGTGGGTCGGGTCAGTTGCAGATGCTTGCCACGCACAGAGGCAATGGAAAGCAATCGAACTGCTGGGTTTCTTTCTGTGGTCTCTGAAGGTGGCAAGATGTCACGTTTGGACTCACTGCAGTCTCTGCTACCCAGAAGAGAAATCCAGACCCAAAACACAGTCAGGAAAGAAAGGACGTGACCTCTAGGAAGGTGGACCTGAGATCTCTGCAGGGCAAAGAAAGGCCTGCAGACAGGTAGAAAGTGAAAACAAGAAGACCGAGACTACAGGTACGCTGCACAGGGTGTGCTCTGGCCAGGTGTGGCTTATGAGTCTGAGCACTGTGGGGGGACAGTGGGGCTCTGGATCAAAATAGGTGAACAGAACCTACAGCCAGCATTATACTTAATGATGAAAATCTAAAGCCATTCCTTCTTAACTCAGGAATGAGACAAGGATGTCCACTCTCTCCACTTCTCTTCAATCTAGTATTAGAATGCCTAGCTACAGCAATAAGACAAGATGCAAACATAAAAGGGATCCAAATAGGGAAAGATGAAATAAAACTCTCCCTCTTTGCAGATGACATGATCTTGTATTTCAAGAATCCCACAGACTCCACTCCCAAATTACTCAAGCTGATTCAAAACTTTGGCAAAGTAGCAGGGTATAAAATTAACCCTCAAAAATCAATGGCTTTTCTGTATGCCAACAATGAGAAAAGTGTGGCTGAAATTAGGAAAGCAACTCCATTCGTAACAGCCCCATAAAAAATAAAATACCTAGGAATTAACTTAACTAAAGAAGTGAAGGACCTCTATGATGAAAACTTTAAAAACCTGAAAAAGGAAATCAAAACAGAACTTGGAAAGTGGCAAAAACTCCCATGCTCCTGGACTGGAAAGATAAACATCGTGAAAATGGCAATACTTCCCAAGGCTATCTACAAATTCAATGCGATACCTATCAATATTCCAACCTCATTCTTCAAGGAAATAGAAGAGGCAATCCAAAAATTCATATGGAACAATAAAAGACCCCGAATAGCAAAATTGATCCTTAACAGAAAGAACAGTGCTGGAGGAATATCAATACCAAATTTCAAACTCTACTACAAAGCCATAGTAATCAAAACAGCTTAGTACTGGCACAAGAACAGACCTCAGGACCAATGGAATAGAATTGAAAACCCAGAAATGAACCCACAGACCTATAGCCATCTAATCTTCGATAAGGAAGCTAAAAAAATAGAATGGAAGAAAGCCTCTTCAGTAAATGGTGCTGGCAAAATTGGTTAATCCCTTGTAGAAAACTAAAGCTAGATCTTTATATATACCCTGCACCAGAATCAACTCCAAATGGATCAAAGATGTTGGAGTCAAAGCAGACACTCTGAAAACATTACAGGATGGAATAGGAGAAACTCTAGAGCTCCTTGGCACAGGCTGAAATTTTCTTAATAGAGACCCATTGCATGAAATTGCAGAGCTTCTGCATGGCAAAGGACAGAGCTAGCAAGATCAATAGAAAGCCCACGGATTAGGAGAAGATCTTCACTAGCCATACAACGGACAAGGGTCTCATATCTAAAATATATCTAGAACTCAAAAAATTAAATCCCCCAACAACAAATTCTCAAAGAAAGAACTGCCCAATAAATAAGTGGGCTAAAGACAAAGAGAAACTTCTCTGAAGAGGAAAGAAGTAGACACATGAAGAAATGCTCAACCTCCCTAGCCATAAAAGAAATGCAAATCAAAACAACATTGAGATATCACCTCACCCCAGTTAGAATAGCTATAATCAAGAGTTCTAATAACAACAGATGCTGGAGGTGATGTGGACAGAAGGGAACTTTACTGCATTGTTGGTGAGAGTGTAATCTTGTTCAACCACTTTGGAAAGTAGTATGGAGGTTCCTCAAAAGACTCCACAATAGGGCTGGGAAGGTGGCTCAGTGGTAGAGCGCTTGCCTTGCATTCATGAGCCCCTGGGTTCGATTCCTTAGCACCACATAAGCAAAAAGAAAAAAAGCCGGAAGTGGCGCTGTGGCTCAAGTGGTAGAGCGCTAGCCTTGAGCTGAAGAGCTGAGGGACAGCGCCCAGGCCCAGAGTTCAGGCCCCATGACCGGACCCCCCCCCTCCAAAAAAAAAAGACTTCCGGACCAAGATGGCGACGGGGCAGTAGGGAAATGCCACAGCTCTCTCCAACCAAAAAGAGAGTTCGAGTTCCAACGCTTAATCTCCCCTAGAGACCGACAACAACAAAAAGACGAACACTCAGAGAAAAACCAGAGGTGGAAAATAACAAAAAAAGAAAGAGAGGAAAAGAAATTCAGAACAGAGAAGAGCGAAGACCCCTCCCCCAACTGTTACTGGCCGCGCGGCAGTGCGCCAAGCCGCCGGCCAGCCGGCCCGGCGGGGGCTGCCGGAGCCACAGAGACACAGGGGGCTGCTTGCAGATCACCAGGTACCGGATTGCAGAACAGCGGATCGCCAGGAACAGAGAAACCTACCAGCCGGGAGTCTCCACGAGGATCCCACCCCCACCCCTCACTCTCCACCGGAGCGGAGAGGCTCCATCCCGCCAAAGCCTCCAGGCACCAGCAGCGCGACAAAGGGACCTGTCAGCAGACCACCCGCCCAATCGCGATCGCAACGACCCGGCGGGGGGCCGCCCAACCCAGCCCGCAACCACCCCAACTGAACTCGGATTGCAACAACAACTGACGACCTACAGGGTGAGTACCCCACAGGGGACAGTGAATCCATCAAGGGAGACCAGAGCTGGAGGGAATCCCCAGACCCTGACCTAGACTCCCTACCCCAACACCCGGACCACAGGACCCACTAAAACTGGGAACTGTTCGAGAGCTCCACCAGCCGGTGGAGCACACTCTGCTGGCCAGGCCAGAGCAAGAGTGCCCCTGGAAGGGAGCTTAAATGCCCAAGCCAGGAACAGCGCCCCTGGGTCAAGACTACCAACAGTAGAAGAAATTTGAACTGTGTCCTCCAGGCTGCATAACGTAGGTGGTATATACATCAGCACAGGCCTAACGAGCGCGCTCCAGGCAGGGGCCGGAACCAGGCCCGGGGACCGGTGCCTGAACAAAGCAAAAAGGGTCAGAAGTGGGGCTGTGGCTCAAATGGTAGGGTGCCAGCCTTGAGCTGAAGAGCTGAGGGACAGCACCCAAACCTAGAGTTCAAGCCCACAACCAGCCCAAAACAAACAAAAACAAATCAGGAGCCCATAGCAGACTCCAGTATTTGGGAGAGTGCATCCAGAGCATCTGATCTTCCCAAGAGCACCCGCAGGAGCAAACACAAGCAGTCTAGGCTGCTCAACCCTTCCAAAGGCGGGAATTGCCAGCAATCTACAGCAGAGAGCTGAGAATCCTAAGTAAGTCAGAATAGCAGCTGGAAATAGGCTCCCAACAAAATCCAGATCAGGCACAGACTCTCTCTACCAATACAGAATCAGCAACCAAACAAAGACAGACACACCAAAACAAGATTGAAGAGCAGTCTCCTGAACCCCCATGCGAAAATCACAGAGAAAAATCACAAGGTTTACCACTACCCAGGACAGCAAGCTCACCTCAAAAGCCAGCAGCCACGCAGGGGAGAGCCCCAGTGGGAGCAAAGCAGGAATGGAAGACAAAAGCTACATCCAAGGGTTGCTGGAGGCAATGACTCAAGAAATAAAGCGAGAAATGGATCAGAAATTGAAAGAGCACAAGGATGAACTATCAAAAGATATACAGGATATCAAACAAAAGTTGGATGCAAAAATAGAAGCTGCACAAACCTCAGTAAGAAGTGAGATAAACGCCAAATTAGAGGTAATGCATAATGATCTCACCTCATTGAGAGGTGAGATCAGTACTCTGAGAACCAA